TGTTAAGGAGAAGATAATGACAAGAGAAGATAATGACGTGATACAAGTGTATATTCGGTTAAGGTCATATGGTTTAGATAGATAAACATGTAAATGAGTTTAACCTTATCTTTGTAACGTGTATATTAGGCAGAGACCTTCTGATGAATAAACCAACAGATTCACCGTAAAAACTCTTCTCAACTTTACAGAAATTCTTAGGAAATATATCTAAGTCTTCGCCTAGTGGAGTCGATGCCAAGTAAAGACGAAGAGAAGTGTACATATAATCATGTAATTAGTAACAACACAGGGACAAATTAACAATTAGAGGTTCTAAAAAAAGAAGAAGAAAAGATTAACAATTGGAGATGAGTAATAAGGATGAGAGATCGCCTTTTGATGACCGGAGCATTAGAGAGACCGCCTGTAAAGCCACCGCGGGAGCCGCCGCTGGTCAGTTTGATTATCATTCAATCAGTTATAGCTGAGTTATAATGTATCAAGGATCAATTGTTTCTTTATGTTTTCATGTTTGTGTTTACATTTCCACGTAAGCTTAAACCAAACAAATAATTATTTGGGTCTAATTGTGGGTTGATGTTGTTACTTTAGGGGTAATTGCGGGGACTTTCGTGTGCCCATTGGATGTGATCAAAACAAGGTTACAGGTTATTGGTCTTCCTCTAACTCCACTGTCCGGACGTCAAAAAGGTACATGCTTTTAGCAACAAAAAAAAAAGGTACATGCTAGTTAGCTATGATTTAGGTGTGGGTATATCAATTTGCGGTTTAGAATTTAGAATTTGAACCGGATTTTTTTGGTAATTGGGGAGAATTTACTTTGGTTTAAGGTGTTTATTGGTGGAGTATTGTGAAAGTTTATATAATTCCGGACTTCCGGTGGTGTTATGATATGAAACTATGCAAACGTTTATAGATTTAGTCTTCAAAATTACAACAATGAACAAAAATACTACATGTTGTTGTATTTATGCTAATATATTACATATTTTTCAACGTGTGATTATTACTACACATCCAATGTTCCTTCAATGTGACGAAATTTTTGAGATGTTGTCTACTTGTCTTGTACTAAATCTTAAGTATTTGGATCAACAACATACGAATCTTAAGTTCACTAGGTTCTGATTCAAATGAATGAAATATCACAAACGATTTTTCTTTTCTTTTTGGGTTGACTTGGTTTTGGTTTGGTCGAAATGTGTTAATGAGGTATAGGTCGTAGGTACTAACACGCTACTATTGATTTTTTTTTTTTTTTTAATTCAATCACATAATTTTTTTTTTTAATAGGTAGTGTGATTATAAGAAGCCTACAAGATATAGTAAAAAAGGAAGGACTTAGAGGAATGTATAGAGGACTTTCACCAACCATCATTGCTCTCCTTCCCAATTGGGCTGTAAGTACTTAAATTTCAATCTCATTAATTTGACACTAATCAACTAATGTTTTTCCTTGTAATTAATCCTTATTAGAATGCTATCCTGCGGAGACCTATTTCTCAGTTTATGGGAAGCTAAAAGATGTGCTTCAATCAAATAATGGTTGGTTCTCATTGTTTCCAATCTTTATTATATATTTGCTAATTAGATTATATATGCGGTTTAAGATTAGTGTATAGTGATAGCTTACCAAGATTCAATTTGGTCCTTGAAATTGTTCATATATCTTCTCATTATAGATGGCAAACTTAGTGTTGGGGCAAACATAGTAGCTTCTGGTATTGCTGGAGTTTCAACTACTATTGTGACTAATCCCCTTTGGGTCATCCGTACAAGATTAATGGTACGTTTTGCTCCTTGGATCTATATCATAATTTATATAGCTTTATGTGTGTTTTGAATTTAGAGTCTAATAAAATTGCTACATAATTCTATTTATCTCACTTTTATCAGACGCAAGGAATGAGAACGGATGTGGTACTTTACAAAACCGTATTTTCCGCATTTACTAGGATTTTTCATCAAGAAGGATTGCGAGGATTGTACATGTCCATTGTTTAAATTGAATCTGAAAACTCAGTAGTTTGATATTCAGTTTCATTATATAAATGCCATAACTATATACATGTGATGATAATTTCGTTTGTATTGTATTGGTTTCATTTTAAAAGTGGCCTTGTACCTTCTTTGATTGGGGTAAGTCATGTAGTGATCCAACTCCCAGCATATGAAATGATAAAGCAATATATGGCAGAGATTGATATGTACGTTATTAATCATACATGTTCTCAAATTATTGTATATATAATCATAACTAATTATTATATGTTTTAATCGGGTAATAAATCTGTGGATAAACTAAGCCCTGAGAGTATTGTTGTTGCAAGTTCAATATCTAAAGTAATCGCCTCCGTGATGACTTATCCTCACGAGGTATCTCATCCTTGTGTGTATTTCTGATATACTATTCCGATTTATAATCATCATATGAAATTAAAATGGCTTATATATATATGTATTCTACATTCTAGGTGATTAGGTCAAAACTTCAAGAACAAGGACAAATGAAAAACACCGAAGTTGAATATTCAGGAGTTATGGATTGCATCAAGAAAGTATATAGAAAAGAAGGAGTTATTGGATTCTACCGCGGTTGTGCCACCAACTTACTTAGAACAACTCCGGCAGCGATTATTACATTTACAAGTTATGAGATGATAAATGGATACCTTCTACAACAAGTGTTAACAAACGAAACACAACACAAATCAGAAGAAGAAGAGAAAGATTTGAGTTAGAGATAGCTAGAATCACCAAACTCAAATTTAATAAAATCGAACACTTCTATATTTCTCTTTGAAACAAAAACGTTTTCACAAACCAAATACATGTTTTCTTATCTCTAAGTATTTTTTTCCCCCTTGTGATGATCAAATTGTAACTTTTGACATATTTGAATATTTTTTCGTGCAACCAATTCGAGTGATATGAAAAAGGCCCATAAATCACATTGGGCCTTAAGTTAGAAAAATAAAAAAAACCGGGCCGATACAATATCCCTAAACTACCCTTTGCCTTGTAGGATGAGTCAATTAATATTGACTTTAAAGCCCTTGAGTCACAAGTCACACTATATATTCTCACCAACCCCAAAGCGGAGACCTCGAAGTGAACTCCATTGACGCTGAGTATATAAAGGAGGGAAGTTTTAGGTTCGTACCGAAAAAGAGTGTTAGGTGTAACCAAAAACTCAAGCATGGCCCCTTCTATTGCCGTTAATCGAGATCTCGCTGCCGGATCTCCGGAGAATGCTCCGGCGAAAGGACGTGCTTCCGTTTACAGCGAAGTTCAGTCAAGCCGTATTAGCAACGCTCTTCCTTTGCCTTCTGTTCTTAAAGGAGCTTTCAAAATCGTCGAAGGTCCCGCTAGTTCCGCCGCCGGAAATCCAGGTGAGTGTGCT